AAAAAAAAAAAAAAAAAAAAAAGGCCGAAAATAAGTCGTCCGGGTGTCCCGGGCAAATCCGAGAAGACCGCCCAGGCGGGCCCGCTCGGGCGACTTTCGTAGCCTAACTATAGAATGATTATTTAATTCTGGGAAATTTTTCCGTTGTCGTTCTGTCAATTCTTGCGTTGAATTTGAAGGTGACTTCACGTCTATTGACTGTCATCTCCTACCGTTACCTCCGCCATCCTCCTTCGTTCCGCCTTACGTATTGTTTGCAACTCCGATCTCGGGTTGATGACAACCCTAAATTATCCTTGTTCTCCTCCGACGTTTGCTGCCAGTACTACTTCCATTTACTACTGTCTCCTTCACGTTTGCACTCGCTTTCAAGAAGCACGTCTTTTGGGGGGCCGGATACCGGGTGTCTGCAGGTAGCCCCTTTATGGCCACGGCCATGCCCAATACGTCAAAGGTATGGTGACGGGTATACCCTTCACTCAGACGCTATCGTGTTGGTAGCCGCCTTCGTTAGAACATTCCTACCGTTACCGGCAGAACGCGGCTGGTCCGAGCTCAAACATTTGCACCGGCGGAGCCGTGCCGGACCTGCCCCCCATTTCGCCACACCACCGCCCTGTTCGCCTTTCCCGAGGACCACTACTTTTTTTTGAGACTTTTTCCCTTCAACAGAAAAATTCCCATGAGAAATGAAAGTTGAAAAAACATTCCATAAAAAAACAAAATCCTTTATATTTATAAATTATCATTCCAATGTTTATCCAATTCTAAAATTTCGAATTTAATTTGATAAGTTTCCGTCTAAATATGAACTTTCCCTTCCAACTACATCTATTTGTTCAAGATGGAATGAAAGTCTGGACGCGTTTATGAAATATTTTAATTAAACTTTCATTCTATTACAACAAATATCGTCTAATTTAGACTGGATTAACCTATTTATGACTGGAAATCCTTACTTAGAATGACATCCCAATTAAAACATTTCATGAACTCATCCAGACTTTCATTCCATCTCTAGCATGCAGTTCAAATAAGAAGGGATACCCCATTCTTAGAAGGAAAGTTTTCAAGTAAGACGGAAAATTTTAAAATTGGAATTACATTTTTTAAGATGGAATGAAAATTTTGATTTTAGAATGCAATTTTACTCTAGAATGATTATTTAATTCTGGAAATTTTTTCTGTTGTTCTCCTAAGTATATTTTTTATTGGGAACAATTTGCAAAATACCCTCCTAAATGTTTACGTATATGCCAAAATGCCCCTGAAAGATGTGGGTAGATCGGAATGCCCTCCTGGGCCGAACTCTTTGCCTTATGCTCCTCTCAGGTTGGTGTGCAAATATGCAATCTGGACCTCGCCGTTTGGGCCTGGGCATTTGGGCCTGCAGTCAGGCTTTGGAAAAGTTGGCACGTATGGGGCCCCACTTTGCAAGTTGGACGATACCCGAAAGGGGTTTATTGCAAAGATGTCAGATCCAACTGATGCTAAGGGCATTTCACAAAAGTCTTTTTTTTTGTGAGAGGGACATTCTGCTCTACTCACATCTTGTCGACAATGTAGAGGCATTTTTGTATACATCTCAACTTATGGGGGTATTTTGCAAATTATCCCTTTTTTATATAGAGGGTCCTGGTCCAGTACTCTCTAGCTCTACCTAGGGCAGGCTTACACTGCAGTACCAAATCTGCATAATCCAAAAAATCCAGGCAGCCGCAACCTTGTCCATTGCGAAATTGGGAAGCAGTGTGCCCCGTACAACCCCTATTTTCCCAAATCGGGCATCCCATTTTTTAAAGAAAATAGTGGGTTACTAGTGGGCGTGGGTTTGGGTTACTGGTGGGCGTGGGTTTGGGTTACTAGTGGGCGTGGGTTTGGGTTTCTAGTTAAGACCCACGCCCACTAGTAACCCAAACCCACGCCCACTACTATGATTTTGCGTACGCAGTGTGAGCGTGCCCTTAGTCTCAAAATTTGCTGGTTCGGGAGTCCCCAGCCTGCAAACTCTCGACTTTCAAGGCAGGCCCGCCATGCCCTTGGAACGCCGTTTTTGGAGAGTCTACCTCTAGTTCGGTTGGACAAAGGAGGGATTTAGGTGTTGGGTAATGCTATGCTGTAGTCAAACTTCTCCACATTCATTAGTACGTGGAGTTTTTCAGGAGTCTGACACCTTTTGAAGGACTCTTAGAATTTTTCGAGAGTCTAGAGTAGTGGAGTGAGAGTCATATACACACACACACACATTCTTCCCGATAAATCAATGAAACACCAACGAAAGTGTATTCTCGTTTGTTATCCTCTTCTCCCCCTCTGCACAAGATTTACTGGGCAGTTCTCTATGATGATATATGGGGCCTCGCCTGGGCGGTTCTCTATGATGATATCTAGGACCTTACTGCACCACTCTCCAAACTCGTTTTTTTTTGTGAGGCGGTGGTCGCCGCACCACTCACCAGACTTTCACATAATAGAAAGTCGGCATAAATGGAGTGCTTGTGTTTGGTGAGTGCTCACCAATTTCAAAAACTTCGCTGGGAGCTTTTGGTGAGCCACTTGACTGGTGAGGTTGGCACCCGTCCATACCGCGAGTCTGAACCAATTTGTTTTCAGTGATAGAGATTACTCGCCAGATCCGGGAAAGGTAGAGGATTTCATTTGAGTGAATCTAACCGGCTGTTGTGTCACGTACATGCAAGAAGGTTATTTGTAGATGGAGTGAGGGTCACTTCAACGCACTCGTTTATGCTTACCAGTAATATGTGAGATCCTTGCTTTGGTGAGAGGTGGCGGCTCCGAACGTGATTGCTTAGAAAGTCATCAGTCCTGGAGGAAATCTCGTTCGGTGAGTGCTCACCAAACTCGAAAACTTCCCTGCCAACAAAAATAGAGTTCTTGGTAGAAGCTCTTGGCTGGCCACTTCACTTGACCATGTTAAGGTTGGACCTGTTCAGATCGCCGGTGTGATGGTCGGAAACCTCACATCCAGCATGACTTTTGGATTTGAATAATAGTAAGTTTAGAAAGTGTGTACACCTGGGGGACTTTCAGCAGAAGGATACCGCTAGGATTGATTTTGCTAAACAACAGCAGAAAGACAACACGTTATTCGTTAAAATAGGACATTATACGGTGTCCTCTTTCTAACGAATTATTTTTTGGTTGCAGCCTAAGCAACATAGGCATGCCCATCCAGGGGTTAACCACATGCAGAAGCGTGCTGAGATCCATACTTGTGAAACTTCAAAAAATGAAATCCCAAATGTGGAAGTGTGTTGGGATCCTTACTTGTTGAACATAAAAAACATGTTGGTGATCCTGTGGGGAAGTGTGTTGGGATCCATACTAGTCAAACTTCATAAACGAACAACGATTGGCACGCCAAAGGGAACCCTGTGGACAGGAACGAAGATAATATCGTAACGAAGCAAATCTACATTTTTAGCCCACCTCTGCACCCCAGCGTATCCTTGAAGTCGCAGTTTACTGAAGAATAACGAATTAAAGCTGAAGACTTGAAGGCCTGAAGAAATGTCACGTGACCCACATGCGGTCGACCCCAACAACGCCATATAGAAATTGACCATCTCGTCATTCACCCTGCCGTTGACATGCAAGAGGGTGAGGAGATCTTTTGCTGCAATCCGAAATTGACCATCGCCCAGTATAGAGAGAATAGTGTTAGACGGCACCGAGCCTCGTACAATGTCATCCAAAACCCGCAAGCTCAGAGGCGCAATCGTCGCAGCGAAACTTTTCCTGCGTGCTGCACTTGTTGCCCGCACTGCACAACATCGAGCAAAGGACACGTGGGGTAGCGAGAAACGAAGTTCTAGACATTGTCCCCCGGTGCATGACGCGTTGCTAAGTACTTCTCATATATGGCCTGACCCCTACTCACAGATCATGGATATGTCCCTTTCTCTAGGGCAAGAAGGGAAAGACATTCCTCAATGGCAACGGTGTACTCCTTCTTCCCGATCTCGACATCAACCCCTGATGCCTTTAACATATCCTTGTGTTTTTTACTCAACCCGGGGACTTTCTGCAATATGTGCTCTGGATATTTGGAGGACCTCCGTGTTCGAGACGACACCACCCCTGTACAACAGAAGAAAGACAAAACGAAAAATGAGAACCATACATTCGTACAGACGCAGCAGTCAAGCAGGACTTCTCCGACCACAGAACCCTGATCTCGCGTGGTCATGTGCACCCATGTGCGGTTGTGCGACTGGAAAACGAAATGACTGCAACATCCGAGCTTATCACCCCCGCACTTCGCAAAGGAAAACCACCACAACTCACAGAAGCCGGAGGCCAGCAATCCGCGAAGTTCGGACTGCGGCGGACTTTTGAACACACCAGCCCCACTGAGAATGACCACATCACGCATCGACAAAGGAAGTTCGGATCCCGGCGGACTAAAACCGGCACTATTCCCGAGAAGGGAAAAATGTCAGTCCATGTATTTGGCCACTTTCTTAGCACCTTGGCCACTTCCCCAACCGGGGCAGATCCTTCCTTGGATGGAGTGTAAGGTTTTGGACGAAGTTTTCGCCGCCCTCGACTAGCATTCCGGCCGAGTCACAGATAGGCCGACGAGTTGGAGTAGGAAGGGCTGCTGGCTGTAGCATGCCGGCATCCGGAACTTCCCGTATGCACAGACAGTGTGGACAGTCGTCGTGTGTATAGCGCGGACTGTAATCCGGCGACATCCGGATACGCAGGCGTTCTTCACGGCTTACCAGTCTGTTTCTCTCTCCGCTCCTTCGATGGTGAATTTGGCGCAGGCAAAGCGAGCACGTCGAGAGCCTGACCGCCGAATCTCGATTTTTTTGGGGACGTCAAATGCTGTCCTCCACCGCACTCGCCTTCCCCTTCGGCGGCAAGGGTGGCCTGCAGCACCAAAGACTTCGGCGGCGATGAAGCGAGGGCAGCTTCCACGGAAGATGCGACGTTGGCAGTTGCGGACGGACGGGCAGACACGTTGTGGTCGTCGAGGATACAGTCGATAACTTCGTCGATGCTTATACGCCGACTTTTTTCAGACGGGCTAATAACGACGGAAGCCTCGTCGAACCGGTGCTGCAAGTCGACAACAGACGTCAGTGGCTGGACCGCATAATCTTCAGGTTCTGCGGAAAGGCTGCTGACCACTTGTGTCTCCATCTCTATTGTCGTGGCATCGTCGTCGACATCATCCTCGTGATGCTCTCCGTACAGTTGTCCGAACTCGTTAAACGACTCTCCAGATCCGGCATCGTCCTCACTGTGTTCCACTTCGTCTTCTCCAGACCCGGCACCCTTCCTTCCTTCAAACGAATCAATTAGCTCTGTTTCTCCCGCTTCCTCCCTTTCCACCTCTTCTTCCCCTTCTTCCTCCCCTTCTTGCGCTCCCTTCTGTTCCTCCGTTTCCTCCCCTACTTCCCTCCCACGAAACTCGTCCCCTTCCACGGTACCCATGCCGAATCGCAAGGATTGCCCTTCCGTCCCCGTGCACGCTGCCCCTCTCAACGTCACGAGAATCCCTAGCTGAAAACCCCGCCCGAAGAAGTTCGGATCTCGGTGGACTTCGTGGTCTCCGTGTCGCCGGACCCTGCACTTGTAGCCTCCCGCTGCAATCCTTGCGGCCGTCGCTCCCGCTCAGGCGACACCGTTCCGACGTCTCCGCCCCGTGCCGCAATGCTGCGAATTTCTCGATCCGTGCTTGGATCCCCCGACCCCGAGCAGCTTCGCATTCCGGACAGCTCTGGCGGCTCCTCACCCGACATAGTTCGGATCCCGGCGGACTTCGGCTTTCCGGCCGAGCGAATGCCCAGAGCAACCAAGGCTGCCAACGTGTCCCTTGCTGAGCCCACGGACGAAGTCTGGGGGTCGGCGGAGTGTGTCGTGTGCTCGGGCCGGGTGCCTGTCGACAGAGTCCGGTCGACGGCGGAACCCGCCACCCGGCGCTGCCTCCCGGTGTCGTGTTGCGGCCGTGAGACCCTCTCTCCCCCATAGGCAGGATTCCTTTGCCACCCCCTGCGTCGCCACCCCCATCCCCTCTGCTTCCAGGTGACCCCCCCCCGGAACCACCATCCGGCCCACTGGGAGGGGGGACTTTCCAGTCCACCACGCCCTTCGACGGACTCGTGTCGAGCTCGTAGTAGTCCTCCGTCAATTCCAACCAGCACTTGTCCTGAAGCTCGTCAAACAGTCGACCGACAGTGGAAATGAGGGACAGGTCGTCGGGTGCTAAAGTGTCATTTTCGACCTTCACTTTCTGGAGGACCGAAATCCTCGCGAGGTGCAGGAAGTTGGACTTCGACTCGTGTGGGAATGACACGCATCCCGCGCCCGGGATTGCCACGGCCATGACCCACTCACCATTTCGTATCGCTGGCTGGATGACTCCCGGATGCCAAACCATGTCATGGCCCCATTCTTGCTCAGTTGAATGACGTTGCGGTTCAAGCAGGAAGTGGATGTTGTCATCATTCAAAATTGGATGATCGGGCGGGACAACGGACCCGGGACACAAAGCGGGCGGGGGGGCGGCCAGAGCTTTAAGTCTCTCCAGCAAGTTCATCGGTGTGGTGCCCGACGCCGGTTTGGCCAGTGGTGACACGAGGGCTGCAGCGCTTGGTGATGGACCGACCGACGAGGACCCTCGACCGTGGTCCGCCGGAGGCTGGTCGTACTGCAGGTCGATGCTCTCCGTGTCGCTCTCCTCCTCCTTGGCGTTGGCGACAAACTCCACACCTATGGCTTCCTCGTCGTCAGTGGAGATCAGGGAAGCGTAACTGGCTAACTTCAACTGCTCCTCGGACTCCACGAAGTACAGCGACTGCAGCCTTTCGATAAACGTCTTCGCGTTCATGCAGGAGGCGAAGTGGTCGTTGTCGAGCAGTGCCAACATGTGGTCCTTCCGGCGGATGTACTCAGCGTCAGTGTCCCTCCTCGGACGCGTTTGAAGGAACAAGAAATCGTATATCTTGTTCCTCTTCCTCTCGCTCAACTTGAACCACATATCCGTCTTCTTGCTCCACACCTTATCCCGTGTTGGCCTCACGACCATGAACTCACAATTGTGCCCACTCGAATTGACCTCGCTTTTCACCACCTGCATCGTGAATTGCAAGAGGTCGGAGTTCCCTTCCATTGCGACAACGTGTCGGCCGGCCTTCAGAAGCTCCCAGACGCTTCGCGTGTGCGGTTTCCCAAGGAACACGACACCCTCTCCCTTCTTGCCAAGAAAATCAAGAAGACCGATGAATTGGGTCGGATTGCGTTCCATATCCCCATAGACGCTGCCCTGTCGTTCAGGTGCCACCAGCGACCAGTCGCAAGGCGTGAAAGGAATCTCGGACACATCCGTCTGGGTGACCCTCAGAGGCAATCGCACCGCAACAGCGGCACCCGTGGGCAGGTTTCCCTCGTAGACCACGGACGTGTTCACGCGCAGATCGTCACCCTTGAAGAGGATGTACATGCGGTCTTTCTCTGTGTACAAATTGTTCCCAACGGGGAAGCTTTTTTTTTGCTGCACTTTCCGCACCCACTTCCCTTCCAATAGCTTGACGAAAGAAAGATGGTGCATGCTGGCGAGAAACGACAGGTTGTGCTTCCGCGGCACGAAAACAATGAGAGTCCAATGCGAGGGACACCACGTCTGGAGATAGGAATTCAAAGTCTCCCACGCTTGGGGCTTCCACAGTTTGAGGTCAACCGGCTCGCACGGATCGAGGACGAACGTGTGGGTTTGTGGCAGCCACTGCCTCCTTCAGCTCTGCGCCCCTGATGTCCTCGTCTAAAGGGTCGTTGGCGAACGACGCGATGGATGTCACGTCCCTCGTGTCTTTCCATTTAATGTGAACGACGCCTTCGGCAAGTGCGACTTCCCGACTCTTCAGTCTGCTTCCATTCAACACGGAGAGAACCTTGTTTCTCCAATCGACGGACAACTTATTGTGGTCCGCCAACTTCTCCGTCACCTCAATCGAGTTGTCCTCGTCGCAACCTATGTACGGCGGGCAGTCCTTGAACAGCGCTGAGTCAGAAACGTGTTTCCTGCTGTTATTGCACGCTGAGCTTTCCCAACTTCGGCAACGATGGGGAGCCGGCCTGGACCCAAACGACCTCGCAAGCAAGCACCTTTTTCAGAACGGGACACTTCTCATTGTCCGTGAGTGATTCCATCGCTTTCCAACAATGCGCGTCCGGGTCTGGCACTTGCACGAACTAATCGCCCTCCTCTTTCTCCTTTTTACCCTTTTTATTCGGCGGGTCCACAGAGACGTTGTACACCACCTCCATTCTGCCCAATTTGTCGTTGTGGATGTAGGCGACCCCAGGCTTTACGCTTTTGACCTTCTTCTTTTTGACAGTCCACTTCGCCCCATCGTGGCTCAGCAATCTGCCTGTCTCCCATTTTCCGAAAAATTCCACGGCCAGTTTCCAGACATTTTCCCCGGCCATCGCTAGAGGTAAGTAAGAACGCAGGGCAGCATTCTGCTTCTTAATGACCTCCTCTTCCTTTTGATCCGCGAGAAGCCACAAACTGTTTTGAGGCGCCTTTTGGAGCGCCGTTGTACAAAACTTATGCCAAGCCCGGACCTAATCTTGTTTCCCGCTAGGGTTCCCCATCACAGCTCTCGGGCAACCGTCATGCTTCCACTGCCATCGAATGTCTTTCATAGAAAGTTTCAACTGTCTGGGAGGCGCCTTCAGGTCCTTCTTGTTGTCCTGTAAAATAACAAGAAAATACCCTTCGAAGTTATCGTCGGAAAAGTACACCATCCGTGTCGGCCACCGCTCGAAATTGTACTTCTTGGCCACCTCGCTGCCGAGCAGCGACCTGGCTGCAGCCGCGTTGTGCTGCCTGCACACCGCGTAGTAGTAGTATTCTCCCGCCAGCTCATCCTTCCACTCCTCTGGCTTCAGACGTTGTGCCTTGGTCCCAGGAGTTGGTTTTTGAAGCCCCAGTGGTGCTAGCTTGAAGACCGGCAACTCGTACGTCTGTTCTTTATTTTCGAACGCAGACCGCATTGCTTCCCTTACCGTTTCCACGAGGACGGGATCTAGTGACCGCTGGTTGTAAAGATCCTCCCACTCCCTTATGTCAACGATCTGAGCCGGGCTGATCTCAAACTCCCGCCTTGTCCTGACGCCGTCTTTGTACTCCAGGAAGTACCCGACGTCCACGTCGATGGCAGGCCGTGGTGAAGAAGGTCCCGACTCAGGCTGTTTATGTTTCGAAGCTGGACGTTTGCTACCCGGATGGCCCTCTTCCACCCCCCTCCCCTTCCGTTTCTCTCCCGCAGTCCTCGGGGTCTTGGTCTTCTGTTTCTTCAAAGAGCCCACCAAGTCTTCTTGACATTCTCCCCTCCTTTTTTCGGGAGTGCCCTGCGCTCCCTCCCCGCCCACGGCCTCGCCTTCCGCGCCATGGCCCTCGGCGGGCTCCAAGTCAGACCCACACAGCACTCCCTCTTCTCCGGGATCCGTTGCAGTCTGTTGTCGGTCCCCAGGTATGGACAGCACGGACCTGTCTCTTTCCCTCGACGGCGAAAACGGCGGACACGGTGTCGCCTCATCTTTGCTGTCGTCAAACTGACCTCTTGCATCCTCCCGCTGCACATGTGTAGCCTCCCCGGAACCCAGATCCCCCCCCTCCCCCGCTGCCCCGCTCGACTCATAACCGCCGCACGGCTGCAAAGGCATTGACAGTTCCAGGTCGGGACCGACTCCGCAAGGGACGTCGAGGGCGATGCCCTTGTCCTCCAACAGGTCGAAGAACTCTCGACCCAAAAGCAACCCGCCCTGCCGCCGGAGGTCGTTGTAGAATGGGGTGTTCGCAGCACCCGCTCCGAACCTCTCGAACAGACACATGTCGAGAACTGCCCCCTTGGCACCGGCGACGATGTTCCCCTTCGAACCGTACACATTTTTCATGTAAAATCGTCGACGACTGCCTTTCGCATTCTCCCACCGTAAGACAGCCCCCAGAACCCTGCGGCGCTTGTTGGCTTCGACGAAGATCACAGGACCACACGGCTGTTGGACTGGGTTCGTAGCATCAGCACAACACCAGTCGATGAACCATTTCGACCTAGCGTGGTCGGACCACGTCCTAGAGGTCGTAGACGACCGTTTTGTAGAATCTTTCCCAGATCCCATCCCGGAGGTCGCTGCAGGCTCCCCTTCGCCCCTGGACGAAGACATATTATCTGCGGACGACAACGGAAAACAAATAAAACACGAGCGAGCGTCAAATCGCAGTCAAAGCACAACGCAGGCGAAAAACAGAGGAGGCACACCTTGCCCTCAACACGTCGGTTACATGACGCTATCTGAGGACCTCGAATTTCGGATCCCGGGAACTTCTAACGCGAAGACCAGCAATCACCTCTTACCTTCAACGAGATCATTCTTTACAAGGGCACACGGTTCATGCAGCCGGGCGACAACCACGTCGTTTTTTTCCGAAACATGAATGTCCACCCGATCGGGGATGGACGGGTGGTGACGCACAGAGCCCGCGTTGGACGGGGCAGTGTCCTCCGTTTAGCAATAGGAACCCGGACAGTTCAGGATGCGAAGTTCGCCGAGATCCGTACTAAAGGTGCCTGTCCGAAGCCAAACCAACGCACCCACCGAAACGTGAAGTTCGCCGGGATCCGAACTTCAGAAAAATGCGGCAGGCAGAGACGGCGCCAGTCAAACATAGATTGGACTGAACTACGACCCGGAAAGGCCGCACTAACACAAAAGGCCGCTTGAGAAAGACAAGTCCGCCGAAATCCGAACTTCTTCTGATATGCGCAGCTTGGCATTGGATGAAGCCAAGTTCGAACGAGCAGCCGCGACAACATTAAAAGAGTCCCTGGAGGAGCAGTTGTGGATCAGGGTTTGACTTGTGTCGCAATCTACGGGGGATCATCAAGCCCAGCGCCCGTTCACAGGAAGTTCGCCGGGATACGAACTTCAGGAGGCTGCGAGAGAGACAGACAGAAAATTGGCGTCCTAGCAAGGTGTCCTAGCACGGTGCCAATGGGATTTCCAACAAGAGGGCCCGCCAACAGGGATCTCCAACGAGTTTCAGGAAACGCGAAGCTCGCGCGACCTTGCGACGGGGATCTCTAAGAGTGCTTTTGGCATCTCGCTACGACAGTGACCGACTGTTTGGCACATGTTGATGGTGGACGGGCGAAAACCGGTTACGGGGAGATCCTTCCGCGGTGATGGTTCTTTCCCACGGCCCGCCCGACGCCAATGACATAAGAGACAAATTAACGGAGAGGCCAAAACGCGAAGTTCGTCGAGATCCGAACTTCGTCGGGGCACGACATGGCAGGAAACGGCTTCAGAGACGGACGTCCAACATGACTTTCGTTATGTCACTGAACCGAACGACGACCAGGGATTTGCACGACAAGCGCGCGGTGCAGCGTGTACCAGCAACCGTGGAGTCTCACACTTCTCTGCAGTCCTACAAATCTGACATGTTAGGCAGCACAACCGCATCTCGTCCCTCGCCGTTCTTTTCCCTCAAACAGAAGGACTAAAGACCGGTTCGGATGCGGCGACATTTGGGGATCCTTTGGGACGATGTCGTGAACCGAAGCCAAACAAAGCATTCAGTGACGATCCGTAGACGCGGGTCTGCAGTTCGTCGACCGATGCAATCTCCGAAAAAACGGACATGTATTTCATCCTAACAAACACCCCCGGTCGTGCCAAGGAGTTTCCTATGCAGTCTCGTATGTCAGCCGCTTTCCCCTCAACCTCATGCCACAACGAGTAGTTTCAAACCTGACCTGCTATCACCAAATCTGGCCACCCATCCACACGTTCAGGCCCACGCATCGGCGCGAATTTAGACCCTTCAATCACAACCTCGTTGTGCGACACGAGCACAACTGCGTCGACGAGTTTCCTGCTCTTGTTCGAAGCAGCGACACACAGAACTCTGGCGGAATCAGATCCGGACACAGTCAACTGCACACAGTAGTACGACACAACTCGTGGAGAAATCCCGGGGCCACGGAGTGGGTACTGGTCCAGGAACGAGCAGCAACGGGCGCAGTCCACCAACTCTTGTTTCCACAAGCCTTTCAAAGTTCGTGGCGACGACTTGACGTTGTGGTACTCGAGGCGACTGAAATAGCGGCTAATGCAGCTTAGTGCTTTGCGCATATGGTTCAGAAACTTATGTCCGAGGACGGCGTCAGGCAGTGGGATGAGGTCCCCGAACTCCAACATATTCGCGAACTTGTATTGGCTTGCCCAAGGGCAGTGACTCTCCATACTCGCCCAATTGCCCTCGCCCCAGTCGTCAAGATGCGCATCCCTGCACGGAACGACGGTCATCCATGGGTCTTGTCGAAGTCCTCTGCGGTCGCTCCGTGGATCGTCGTCACACCGTTGAAATGCCGCACGGATTTTGCACAAGGACAAAAAGGTTCTGCTAAGCGAATGTGCGTCTCGGCACTCATGGTCTGTGGTCTCGAGAAGATCGACTCGAAGATGCGTGGTGTCGAGAAGGTCCCCTCCATCACGCAACCTGCACACCACTCGCACATGCCCGACGACACACACGGGCACGGAGACACTCGTAAACGCGTCATGTCTCGCGATGTGTGACCCATGGCATTAGACGCATTGTATGCCCAAGATCCGATTTCGGGTGACCGGCTTCGTCGGTGTTCACATCTTCCGGCCCGCGGGCCAGTCACAAACACGCCCTGCGACATGTTCGCCTAGATCCGAACTTGGCGAGACTGCGCGAGAAAGACGAAGCTGTCTCCCAAACCCGACGTCCAAAACTGCCAAGAAGTTCGGATCCAGGCGGACTTCAATTTCGCACGAATGAAAAGTTCTAGCAATCCACTGGTTGCCAGGAAGTCCACAGTCAGAACCCGCACCACCCGAAAGGTGAAGCACGCCGGGGTCCGAAGTCGACGGTTTTCCAACGAACCGTGCACGGGAAGTTCGGATCTCAATGGACTTTGAATTTTATAGAACCCGTAGTCCGCCGTGATCCAAAATTTACGATTGTCTAAGGAACCGTGCACGGCAGGTTCTGATCCACGGCCCAACAGGAACATCTCCTGCCACATGCATTGCGAAAGGAAGACAACTCAAATTCGTCGGGATCCGAACTTGGCAAATTCACCGGGATCCGAACTTGCGAAAGGAACATCTCCTGCCACATGCATTACGAAAGGAAGACAGCAGGTTCGAATCCACGGCCCAGCAGGCGAACCCGATGATGGGACGACATTTTTGCGAAACAAATGTTGTGGCAAACACCCGTTCGCGAGAAAGGACACAGTCATTACCCACACCATGCGCGACGCGAAGTTCGCCGGGGTCCGAACTTGCCACGCAAGGTCCGGATCCACGGAAAGTGTGCGTCGGGATCCGAACTTCTCGAGACCGCGTGGGAGAGAATCAACCGGCGGGCTACACATTTTTTCAAATACAAAGTTGTGCCAAACCCCGGGAGCTAGAAACCCGCGTTCTGAACCCGCACATTAAGACAAGCGAAGTCGCCGGGGTGCGAACTTGACGTCTGTGCGAGGAACCGTGCAGTAGAAGTCCGGATCCCAGCGGACTTCGCATTATCACGGATCCGAGGTTCACCGAGGTCCGGACTCGACAAGTGTGCAAGGAATAGTGCGAGTGAGGTTTGGATCCGCAGGCCAGCAGGAACCTGTAGTTGGCCGGGATCGGAACTTGGCGAAATTACGTGGGAGATACACATTTGTCTGCCAAACTCGCCGTCCTGCAATTTGTTGAAGTTCGGATCCCGGCGAACTTCATATTTTTCCACGTCCCAGGCTGTGGTTGCGGACCGGGGTTGCGAAGGTTGTTCGAGCAGCTGCATGAAGTTCGTCGGGATCCGAACTTGGCGAAATTACGTGGGAGATATACACCTGTCTGCCAAACTCGCCGTCCTGCAATTTCTTGAACTTCGAATCCTGGCGGACTTCATATTTTTCCACGTCCCAGGCTGTGGTTGCGGACCGGGGTTGCGAAGTGTGTTCGAGCAGCTGCATGAAGTTCGTCGGGATCCGAACTTGGCGAAATTGTGTGGGAGACATACACCTGTCTGCCGAACTCGCCGTCCAGCAATTTCTTCAAGTTGGGATCCCGACGGACTTCCAATTTTTACACGTCCCAGGCTGTGGTTGGGGACCGGGGTTGCGAAGCGTGTTCAAACAGCTGCATGAAGTTCGCCGGGATCCGAACTTGGCGAAATTGCGTGGGAGACATACATCTGTCTACCGAACTCGCCGTCCAACAATTTCTTCA